TTAAAATAATTTAATAATTTTATAGCCCAAATTATATTTTTATTTTATAATTTAAATTGTAAAACGCAATTAAGGACAAAAACTCCTACATCAATTAACTGAAGGAAAATTTGTGTATTTAAATATGTTTTTTTTTTTGTTTCGTGATTCAAATTGTATTAAATTATAAAATAAAAATTATTAAATAAAAGAACAATCACAAATATCAAGAGACCTATTATATTTTAATGATTTGAGTTCGAACAATTCAAATTATACATTTTTTCTTTAAATAAACTATAATGCATTTCCATATGTATTGCATATTAATTTTAAGTTGAACGCTTGCAATAACATTGTCATTAACTTTTGCTTCTTGAAAATAATAAGTCATACAGAACGGTCCCACCCAGATGTTAGAGGGCCAATTGTCAATATCAACGTGTTCTAAGGCAAATATACACTTATCTCATACCATAACCAAATGTATTTGAAATTAAATTTTCAGTCTAAATTTAATATTTAAAATAATGTTTATTTCCTAAATCCTAATAGATTTAACTGTGAAGATTACTATCTTCTCTTATTAGTTTGCTGTTGTTTGTGGACTTTTATTTAATGAAGAATAATCAAAACTTTGTCAAAAGTTGGGGACCCAACTACGGATTTTTTCCATACAAATTAGATTCTTTTTTTTAAAAGAAAAAATTTCTTGTATGTGCCTTTCAATTTTCAAATCCCTTAATATTTGTCTTTAAAATATGGAATATGAAATTTCTGACTTATAAACTGAAGTTGATAACCATTTTCTTAGTAGACAGTAAAAATGAGATCTAGTCTTAAAGAATATTAAATCCACTTGTATAATCCAAGAAACAAAGAATAAAAAGATATTTTGCAATATAATGAAGACTATTCAGAAATTCAATTTCCATTATCTGACCAAAAAGAAAAGTTTCCACTCCATGTTAAATATTTTTGAAGTTTAAAGGTCTAAACGTTTTCAGCAAAACGGTTCGATCCTATTTCTTCTCTAACCCAGCCCAGAATGACAGCACCATGCACTTTAGTTATTCTCTAACCCAGTTCTGTATGAAGTCGGCTCCACACTACAAAGTCCATATAGTGCAGCCTTGCGGGTTTGTTTTATTGATTGGTTTGATGGTAACAAATATTTCTTGGTTAAACTATATTTCTTGCAATCGGGAATAGTAAAGCCGTAATCTCTAATTTTGTTTTTATATATTCCTTAAATAACACTCATATGTCAAGCAAAACAGGACCACATTCTTCTGGAACCTGCACATGACAGACATATTCCCAAATAAATCTACCGACTCAGAGTGCATATCTCCAGCAAGCAAACAACATAAAACTTAAAACAAAATAAGCACAGGGTGTTAGGATTAATGCACCTTAAATTGAAGATGATCCCATTCCATGTATCCAATTTCAATATGCTGCATCATTTTCGGATTTGCGTCAGAAAGCATTCTCCTCTGAAGCGTCAAAACTGTTGAATGTCAGATTGTTACAAGCCAACCAAAGTAGACCATGTAATGACAAGAAAAACAAGGTAAGACCCAACTTTTCTTAATTTCGCCCCCACCAAGCCAAGGACATGTTGATGGGATGCTGTGTGAACTGACTCTGCTAGAGAATATGAATATCCTCTACCAATGTATAGACTTCATCCATACTTGGTATGAGCGGTTGTACTGAATCATTATATGGTTAACAGTGTCCAATTAACAAATCCTTTTCTTTTTACCAATGCCACTTTCACAAATTCAAACATACCTTGAGTGAAAAACGTCAAACCAGATTTTAAACAGAAAGAAAGCCCCTCCAATCCATTTTCCCTCATTATGTTCTTGTTCAATAGATAAAACATAACTTTGTAATCTGTTAACACTAGGATTTCTCATGTCAATCTCCATAGAAGGTAACTTTGCACAGCTCATTTTCACAGTCAAGAACAGAAAATATAACAATCAATCAGACACTACAAGTTTCTTCTACTCTTCACCACCAATAGCTAATCCTATTATCTGCTCAGCGTTCACAATCCCCCCTTCCTCAAGAACACAGTCAGCAAATTCTTTGAAAAACCACTCAACATTGCAACTCCACTTTGCCTAGAAACCACTGGAGCGAAGGATGAGTTCCTGAGGTTCCAAAACACAATCACGGTACTTCCTTTGTATTACTTCATAATCCGTCTCCCATTGTGTTCGGAGTATCTCCTCTCTGCTTACTATCTCACCACTTTGCATCTGACTTGAATAATACGAAAAATTACCATTGGCAGCATCAAACTCCATATTGCTGAAAACGAATATCCTCTTTACAGATTGTTCCTCGTTCAGCTTCCCCTCTGTAGCAACTACCAATATCTGGTCAAAAACTTTTTGAAAATCTATGTTATCACCCCACTCCATTTCCCTTATGAACTCGGTTTTGGCCTTAAGACTATCTCCTTCAATCAAGTGAAGTTCAGGATTCTCACTTAAAGTTATCACCTTTCCATTCCAACACTCCTCACTACGCTTGACACCAGCAACCTAAGGGCCACAGTCACCACCATGGGAATTCCCCACATACTTCCGGAAACATCACAAACAGCAATACAATTTCTGAGCTTGCCTTTTTTTGCAACATCTTCTACCATTCTAGCCCATTGGAGCTCAACAACTTCTTCACTATCTCTATCATTCAAGGATGCAATTATCTCGTGAGGAAACAATGCTCCTGCCACTATCTTTGCTACCCCACTCTTCACTTTCTTATGATGATACTCCTCAAATTGTTGAGAATTTTGAGCACTACAATCCCACACAAAGGGAAGCGATAAAGAAATTGAGACAACAATTTAACATAGTTCAACCTATATACATTTTAACAAGTCTATGTCCATGAGAAAGAGAGAAATAAATCCACTATTAAAAAAAAGAATACAATAATTTAGAAGCTTTCTCACTTGAGAAGCTCTTAACACCATAGCTTAAATATATAGAAACTCTCAAATTCTCCTTAATACTCTATCTTAATCTTCACAAGGATTATCTCACAATTTCTCTCTTTCTTTTTTCTCACAAGAGCACTCACTCACTTAGCTCTTCTCAATTTCTCTTGCTTTCTCTCACTCTTGCTTGCTTGTTACCTTTGCATGCATGGGTATTTATAGTGAAAAATCCAACCATCCATGCACCATTTCTTTGCCTCATTAAATGAGTTCATCATGCAATTTTACATAATTTCAACAAAGCAAATGCTAGCCCACAACTAGCTAGCTTGGTCAAGAAACTTAACCACATTGAAAGTCCATGTGTTCACATGCGGTTGGGCTTTCTACCAAGAATTTCCCCCACCAACCCCATGGGAGGAGAAACCAACCATGACTCCGTACACTTCAACATTCCCATAATTTAGCCCCCTTTGCTCAAGAACATTTCATCATGGTGTCCTATTTTTTGAGAGTTTTCTCGTAGTATAAAATAGGACAAATCTACACTAGGCATACATCAGATATTAATTTTGAATCAAAATATGATTCAAGAAAGAACCACATCTCCTCGAACCATCATCAAACACCACTTCATTATTTAAGCTCACCTTTTTCTTGGTCTGATTAATTTCTTTACCATCTACCAAGATCCCTTTAGGCTTCCACACGATCTTCCTCATGGTCTTGTTAAGCCCTCTCTCGGGATGTTGCTCAAGCGCATATGTGTTGTGCTTGTTCTTCCTCCCATGCAAAACAAGTCTTCCACCATTGTAAACTTTGCACCATTCTCATTTTCCAATATACTTGTACCCTCGTGTTGTCAACTCATTCAAAGCAATAATATTGTTTGAACACTTGGGCACATATCTCACATTCTTGAGAATCTCGACTCTCCCATTGTGAACATTGAGCCGAATGCCTTCTATGCCTTCAATATCCACCTTTTCACCAATGGCCATCATTACTTTACCAAGCTCCCCTGAACCAAACTCACAAATTCAAAAGGATTATTGCACACATGCATGGTTGTAGTAGAGTTCAAAATCCACCTGTGATTGTTTTTCTCCACCTTGGGATCACACTCTTTACAAACTAATACTTCAACCACATTTTCTTCAACAATATTAGCCTCCCCTTTGCCCTTGGTTTCTTGATTTTTCATCAATAATTTCATATTAGAAAAATCCTCCTTAAACTTTGGGCATTTAAATTGTTTGTGACCCAACTCACCACAATAGAAACACTCCATTTCACTATAATCCTTCCTAGGTCTAGATTTTGACCTTTCTTGATTTCCTCCACCTTTATGTCTATGGGATCTTCCTCGAGATTGCTTCATCACCAAAGCATTATTTTGATGGCACCATCATCCTCCCCAAGAAACTTTCATTCTCCAACAACATAGTTGTAACATTTTTCATCACCAATGTAGTCTTACCCATTAGCATACTCTGCACTAGGGACTTGTAAGACTTAGGTAGGGATGCAAGTAAAGGCAAAGCTTTCTCCTCTTCTTCTAGAATATCCCTAGCATTCACTACTTGTGTCACCATTATGTTGATATCGGTTAAATGCTTGTGAATATTAGTGCCTTCTGCCATCTTCAATTGATATAGCTCCATCTTTAAACATTGGTGATTGGTTGAAGATTTTGGAGCATATATCTCGTCAAACTTCTTCGACATGCTTATTTGAGTAGTTTTTGAAAAGATGTTGTATTCCACCTCCAGTGCAAGTGCCAGCTGAATTTGACTTGTTGCCCTCTTTTGGATAGTACTCCAATCACTATCCTTCATCTCAATCGACTTGGTCTCTTTTAAAATTACATGAAGTCCTTGACAAGTAAGGACATCCTTCACAAGTAAGGACATCCTTCATAGTGCTTTGCCATAGAGCAAAGTCATTCTTGCCATCGAATAGTTCAATTGAATACCTCATTGTGTCAATTTGCATTTTCCAACAACATCTATAAGAGCTCTACCAATAGCTCTGATACCACTTGTTAGTAATTTTGAGCACCATAATCCCACACAAATGGAAGTGATAAAGAAATTGAGAAAATAATTTAACGTGGTTCGACTTGTTGACTTATATACCTCTCAACAAGTCTACGTTCACAGGATAAAGAGAAATAAATCCACTATTAAGATAAGAAAAAAAGTACAATAATTTAGAAAGTCTCTCATTCAAGAAACTCTCAACACCATAGTTTAAATATATAAAAGCTCGCAAATTCTCCCTAATAGTCTCTCTTAATCTTCACGAGGATTTTTTCACAATTTCTCTCTTTCTTTTTTCTCACAAGAGCACTCACTCACTTAGCTCTTTTCAATTTCTCTTGCTTTCCCTCACTCTTGCTTGCTTTCACTCTTGCTTGCTTGTTGCCTTTGCATGCATGGGCATTTATAGTGAAAAATCCAACCACCCATGCACCATTTTCTTTGCCTCATCAAATGAGTTCATCATGCAATTTTACACGATTTCAACAAAGCAAATGCTAACCCACAACTAGCTACGTTAGTCAAGAAACTTAACCACATGGAAAGTCCAAGTGTTCAAATGGGGTTGGACTTTCGACCAACACAAATCTCTCCTTGTCATGCTTCACAAATAGACCCTTGTAGTTCTTCATTGCAACAGATGTAACCCTGTTGTAAGGAAGAGCATTCCACTCATTAGCACTCATGTAAACCTCCAACAATTGAAGAGCCTTGTGCAATGGAACAAGCACTTGTTTCCTCAATCTATCTTGAACCCTGTACGCATAAAGTGCCTCTCCATTCCCCTCATATTCTTTTTCACCGTCTTGAGGGAAAATTCTACGAGCAATTGCCTGACAAAGCAGGGTAGCTTTATCATAGGCAGAATCAATTGAGGGGCACCATTTTGAGGCAAGACTTATGTTGAACAACTTACCGGCGTTCAAGTTTTTTAGATTCGATTTCAAAAGATCAATAAACAAATTAGTAATGCAGTTGAACAAGAAACGATAATTGGCATCAGAATTGTGCTTATCTATGGCTTTCTTATCTTTGACAAGCTCTCTCTCCTTCCTCGTAATTCTAGTGCCTTTTTTTTGGATCAAGGTGACCATCTCCGCCATGTTTTCAGAGATCCCCTCCATTTTTTTCTCCAGAACCTTCATTTTTCTCCCTCCCTTTTGCTTGAACATCTTTGCGCCTCTCTTTTGATTCATCCATTCTTGTTTCTGGAGCTTTTTCGACTTAAGTCCTTCCAAGATACAATATGAAATCTCTGATGAATCCTTGAAGTACCCAAATTCAACAAAGGCCCTGAGATTTAGAGCTAGAGTCTTTGGATGCTTGTTGTGGAGCTAGAACACTGCCGCATAAAACCCTTGCTTGTTCGATTTGCCGGTCCCTCTTGAAGAAATGCAAAACCAAAATGAGAATACTGAAACTGTATTGATTGTATTTTTCTGTACAAGACTTGTGTATATAT